TATTGCAAAAAGTTGTATTTGTGACTAGTTTTGCGCGCCAGAACGTGGACCCATTTGACGAGCAAATATTGGGGGACCCGCTTATCGAACCGGCTCGTCCTTGTGCATGGTGGGCCTACACGCACGGCACGTTGTGCAAAATTGTAGCTCGATAGCTTGGCTGCAGCTTCTTCTATAAATTTCGCACACAGAAACACACACACACACACACACACACACACACACACAGACAAACGTAAACAACCCTTAGCCCGTTATTATAAGTTATGATGTATCGAATGATGCGGCGATGCAAGCGATTGACGAACTCCTCTTAGAGCATCAAAGTTCCCTAAACCTGTACGGCTTTAGTCTCAGTAGCATCATGACCCTTCTAAGGGAATGCTTAAAGTGTTCCATATTTAGGTGGTCAGGTCACTACTATAAGCAGGTCCGGGGTTTGGCGATGGGACAGCGATTAGCGCCAACTCTAGCCATTGTTTTCATGTCCAAAGTAGAAGCGCCCGTGCTTTCGAGGGAGCCATTGCTGTATTGTCGTTATATAGATGATTGCTTCATCATTTGTCCGACGCAAGCCGAGACGGATGTTTGTTCCAATCTTCTAAACCAGCAATACCCAAATATCAAGTTCACGCGGGAAAAGCCCAAGGAAAACTGGCTACCGTTTCTCAATGTACAAGTACGACTGTGCGGTGGGGATTATAAAACTAGGTGGTACCGCAAACCCAGCTGTAAAAACATTTTAGTACATTATTTGTCTGCGCATCCCAGCAAGCTTAAAAATGCGGTTATAAAGAACATGTATCGGACAGCAGCAAAAGTGTCTTCGGGCATGCAAGAGCGAATCTACTCTATGGAGTTAGCTTATCAAGTAGCTAAGTCTAATGGGTATGCTGGTGAGCCTATCCCAAACCCTCGTGGGTTTGTAGGACGCAGAGCCATTCCAGCAGCCCGAATGCGCCACTTACAAAAATCGCTTTCTGCTTGCCATTCGTATCGGATAAGATGACGCGGCAGTGCGGCGATGCGTACATCTCGCGGGTTTGCAAGACGATGTCAGGGTGGTCGATATACCACCCTCGAACCTAAGGCGCCAATTGGTCCGAAATCGATCTTACGATCGTACATGCCTAACCCCAGCTTGTGTCGTTTGCCCATTTGGCAAAGAGGGTGATTGCATGATCTCCGGGGTTATCTATCTCATCACATGTTTATCGTGTGGTGATACGTATATCGGAGAAACAGGACGACCTCTTTGCTGCCGCGTTAAAGAACACCTGGATGGGTTGAACAAACTGAAAGCAGCTACGCCGTTAGGCAGCCATCGCATTTCGTGCCATGAAAATGCTGAGATTAGTATTGGAGTGGCTATATTAGCGTACGAGTCCGACCTCCTAGCGCGCAAAACTTTGGAAGCGTTCTGGATCAACGCCAAGAATCTAAAGATGAATCGGAAGGAAGAGTGCATAACCATCACCAATGAACTGGCGCCATATCAATACCTCTGTGGGTTTTGATATGAGGTCAGGTCACCCGAGCACTATAAATAGGGGAAGAGGTATAGTCTGAGTATATGGTGGTCTAACGCATCATCACACGTTATCGAAGGTGAGTCTTGATTACCCGATCTCTCTTTGCCTTTGCCTCTCTCCAATTTGACTTTCGTCTTGAACTAGAATCTTGGCGTCTAGGAGAATGTTTCGCTTATGTTTTCGGCTTTCTAGGCTCTGACGAAGGCGATCCCTCCGAAACGTTGGCCGTGAATAAAGTGTGGCTGACATCTTGGTCGACGCTTAGCAAGCTCAAACGATTATCAACTATTGATGCCAAGATTAATAAACAACCGAAATTGGACAATGTTTATCTTTATTTTGAATGATTCGAGGATAGGTCCAAAAACGGCAAGAACTTTCGGACTCACCTAAAAGAATCACTTGTTAGAACGCTGATTCCGAATCTGACTTCCGTTTCTGCTAATCGTTTAACTAGAAATTATGAGGGTTTTTACATCAATGGTTGCTCAAAAGAAATACGGTCCCGGATGCCTAACTTTCAAAAAGAAGCTTGATTGAGGCAATTCAGAATTGAAAAACACAAAAGAACTCGAACTTAAACCTGCACTAATTTGTGAGGCTATCGCACTAGCCACTACACCACCGTAGAAGTGGTTTCAGCATTCCGACCGTGTTTTCTTTAACGCAAAAACCCTTCATAATTTTTTTTCAGAGAAACGATTAGCAGAAACAGAAGTCAGATTCGAAATCAGCGCTACAAGACGAGTGTAATAGTATACACCTTTTCTCAAAAGGCCATGGACACCAAGTATCGCTCCCTTGTAGGAGGCAGAATTCTATAGAAAAAACAGATGGGGTTTGCTGAAAAAAGACATAAAATGTAACAATGACGAGCATTTTACTGAGACTGTGCTAATGCACAATCATGATTCCGGATGTTTTCAAATGCATTCAAACCATTCAAACTTACTTCATCCTATCCTTTATCATATCAAACTTATTTCATCCTATCCTTTATCATAATCTTTATTTCAAACTTACCACATACCTTGTAGCAAGCATTCGTTTCACTAAGGTAAGCCCACCCATCTGGACAGTGCCCGGAACATGCTAAAAGCTAAGGATCATGATTGGCAGACAAAATTTCATCTTGCGTAATTGAAAGCAATTTCATGATGAACGCGACAACGGCTTTGATTCGCCATCGACTTTCAGCTTGAGGGAAGCTAGTCGAATATGGGTCAACTATTCGTATAAAAAGATACCTCAATCTCTGCCAGTTTACAATGATAGGTCCACTTCTACTGCTTCTGCCTCCCCAACCTCACCCCCATAACCAGTTCCCTACTTTCATTATGTATTGCTTCAACCAGATCGGCGGCTGAAAGGCAGGGCTCCGTAACCTATCCATGCTAAATGATTAAAGAGCATGTTGCGAGGAAGGCGCAGCCTGCGTCGCGGATGCGAGCTCGACTCCCAGGTCACGAAGCTCCGCCTTCTTACCGATCTAGTTGAAGCAAAGGGTACGTGCGAAATTAGTGAAGAAAGACCGATTAGGCTGATTGTACGGCGAATGACGTAGGCTTTCACTAATTTAGTGTGACCTTTTATCAGTTTTGTGGATTTTGATTTACATTTACGGAAACAATAAACGTTTGCTCTTACTGTTCGATTGCAATTACTCAGATAATCGCCGGGGGCAGGCGACCATGCGAATTTTGAGCAAGCGCGCACCGGAAAAGTAGTTCGTTGATTCTTTGCGGCCCGCTTGCAGAAATTCGGAGGAAAGTTGGCGAAATTAAAGACGAATGCTTGAAGAACAATCGCGGTTTCTTTATGGATTACCTGCGGCGCAGTCGCCGCATTCTCGCGTACTTTCCGCGAGAATATGCAAAAATTTCGAGGGCCGCACGGTCCTTTGTGGAGGACCGCGCAACCCCCAGGTACTTTCCGCTGAGAGAAAGTACCTCAAACTTGAGTAATTAAACCAACGGTGACACCTCTGCCACACAGAGTCTTACCTGCGCTCGACGTACGCCCGAAAATACCTAGAAAGAGTCCGAGCGCTTGCTGAAAGTTTGGCCAGCGCTCGCTGGAAGATATTATTTGACGAGCGCTCGCAAAAAATTCTGTATTGCTGCCCGCTGGCAGAACGCGGAAGTACCGCCCGCTGAAGGTTTGGCCACGCCCCAAAATTCTGCTGACCGCCTGCAGAAAAGCGCGAGTTTGCGGACCGCCTGCCCCCGGCGATTATCTGAGTCGAAGCCAGCCATTGAAATCAGGGCCCGGCACAAGGTGGGCAAACGGGGTTTTCCAAAACGAATACCCCTTTGATCCCAGTAAGTTTTACGAATACTCCCTTGAGCCCAAAAATGACGTTTTGTGCTTGTGCGACGAGATTACCGGCCACACTTCGCCTAAAAGCGCTCAAAAGCGCCCAAATTGCTCAAATTCCTCATATTACTCAAATTGCTGTACCAAGATAGGAAACAGGAAGAAAAATAAGCAGTAAAAAGGATTAGGGAATGAGAAAATATCAAAGAATTGCAGTCATAGGAATGAGAGACGCCGTTCCCGCGCGTATCGATTGACTGGGGCGCGCTTTCTATCTTAGAAAGCTGGGCTGCTGATGCCATTTTGGGCTCCAACAAGGACAAGAGGAGGAGTTTCGGAACCAAAATTTCACCATATAGTAAACTTTAGGTGTACAACAGATTTATGTAAAAATTTTGAGAAAATTATGTGAACTGAGAGTTTTGCCGACCTCAGGTGGGAATTAGGTCGGCAAATGCCGACCTAATTTGGAAATAAGTTAAGGAAACTCTTTATTCACATAAGTTTTTCATAATATTTCATACTTTATTACTTAGTCCTATTGCGCATATACACACCGAAGCCCGCGCGATTTCGTTACCTCTGCGTTGCAAACGAGCCATTTTTCCATTTCTTTGGTAGCGCAAAATTTCCAGAAAAAAGTTTGCCACAACCTTCAGTCACATAATTTCTCAATGAAACTCCTTAGTTAAGTCCTGCAAGCCCGTGTGCATGTACTTACCAATTTTCATACCATATCGTTCATCTGCGCTTTCCAAGCGAGCCGTTTAAATTCACATTTTCATTTACCAGTTTTGCGAAATTCTCGGAAAAAATGCTAATTACTCGTTCCGTTCACATAAGTTTTTCATAATTTTTCATACTATGTTTCCATTAGCTTCTGTCCGTTCGCACACAAAATTTGGTGCCATATCGTTACACACACATTGAGAACTAGTCATGTAGGCAGTTACAAATAGCATCGCTTGGGCGACGTCGCGCGTGCGGCACTTAGCGACGGCGCGGTTTGACGCGCGCGAACTCCAGTGTTCGCCTGTTGAGGCACATAACATGTCAAGATAAGTAGCGAGCATGAACTATCAATTTTTTTCCGGGGCTCTGCCCCGGACCCCGCAAAAACGATTTCCCCTTTGCTTTTTGGCCCCAGAACGATTTCCAGCTTGTCATTTGCCGACCTCGTGCCGGGCCCTGATTGAAATCTATGTCAAAGCTATTGAAGCATAGAAGTTCCTCGCAATGAGCTCAGCGGATTAAGAACAAGTGGTTGCGGTTTTCTTTCTCAGCGGCAATTCACAAAAAAAGCAGTATTGCACTGGAATTCGAAATTGACCGGGGTGCTCGTCATGGTCACTTGTCAAGGGTTGTTTGTTTTTTGCGAGTAATTCTACTCAAATTATAATCAATGAATACATCTTAACGCAACTGGTGACCATTTTTTCTATATTCCAAATCAAACAGTGAGAGGCATGCATTTACCTTTACCTCAGGATCCTCAACTTCTTAGGAGAAACTTGACTCAGGCCGTGCAAAACTAAAACGCTTAACTTTTGAGAAGCTTAATTGTGGCCATGCAAAAGTAGAAAACGCAAAAGGACGCACACTACAAAATACCTGCAACATCTCGCAAATTTGGCGCGAAAATCTCTCATAAATTTTTTTGCGAAACGATTAGCAGCGCAAGTCAGATTTGGAGTCAGTGTTCAAAGGAGTGTAATGGCACACATTTCATATCAGAAGACCACGGACGCCGAGTATCCTTCCATTCTCAGTGCTTGATATTTATTGTCTATCAAACAGACTTACGCTCACTTTGGGGTTAATCGGTTACGAAAGTTAACCAAATGAATTCTAGCGTCCTATTGCCTTCAACAACCTACTGATACCTAAAAGCTCATCAAGAGGGTTCGTTAGTAGCTTGTCCTTTCTTGCCTAGCTTATCCTCTCTTGCTGTAATTCGCAACCCGAGAGACCTAGCTCCTAAAGGCAGTGTCCAGGCAAATCTGGGCACATAGGTTTTTTGTCTGGAAGCTGACGAGAAGGCTCTAGCTAAGGCACTGCCCAAACCGCAGCACAAATAATCCATTCACGGCTAAGATCCATCCACAAACACTCCACTGCTGCGCCGTGACCGTAACACTTAGGATTGGTCGCAGCGCGAACGTAGTGTTAAAGTGAGCGAAGTCGTTCTTGGGTTACGGTCACGGCGCAGGCGCGGGGTTATCGGTAGCGGATTTATCAGCCGTGATTGAACAATTTGCGCTGCCCCTTGGGTAGTGCCTTAGTTAGGACCCCCTCATCAATTTTCCGGCGAAAGAGCCATGCGATCAGATTTTGCTTGGACACTGCTTTTAGGTAGAGTTTGTCGAGGACTTCACCCAAGCATGTTTAAGAAAAACCGAAACACCCTTATGATAATTTACGAAAATCGATTCCAGCATTATTTCCAGAAAGATTTTTGTGTTGCGGAAAAAAAGAAAAGATATGTCACTAGCCTGAGTTAGAATTGTGAAGAAAGAATAGCGACGGAGACGGATCCGAGCTTCTGTAAATAATAACCACTTTTGATTTAAAATGACTTCCAAAGAAACATAAACCTGGGAATTTGGTTGTTGTTGTTCGGGCTTATGTAAGCTTCTGTCAATGGAAGCAGTGCAAAGAGCAGCAACTTCATTGGGAGCATCCTGTGTACTTCTTTTAGTACTTTGTTTTACATAAGAGTAAGGACTAATTTCGCGTGGTTTCTTATGCAAGCTTTGGAAGACTGGGATGAAAGGATGGACATGGGTGTGATTTAAGCTGACCAGTTGGAAACTTGAACTCACTGTAATTGTGATTTGTTGGACGTGAAGAGGGTTAACGACAACGGTACAAGGAATGTTTGAGACTTACATTAGAAGGTCCGTTGAGATATTTCTGTTTGCAAGTGTAGGCATACCAAACCTATTCTTAGTATCTCTAGCACTGGTTACAGTCAATACACACCTGCAAACCAAGATATCTCATGAACGTTCTAAATTATGTACAAGTCTATCACCGTGGTCGTCAAATTCCTTTAAAATCCAGAACCACAGACGTTCAGAGTTTTTTCTTCTCGGTTTTCTGAACCAGATTTCAACATGCTTTTACATTGCCAAGGCTTGTGCTATTAGGTTGCGGAAAATGTCTATTATCCTTTTTTTGTAAAATTTTGAGAAATTCCGGAAGTTTTTTAGAATCTTCAAATTTGCTCTGTATGTAGGGAGTGGCAGGGCGTACATAGCAGTATGGTTGATGCCGCAAATGCACAAATACATAGCTAGCAAGCTTACGACAACTTTGTGAGCGTACTCAAATTGACATATTTTTCTTCATTCTTTGCTCTATGTAAAACTGTGTTTTTCCTTTACCATTTTTTAAACATATTTTCTACTGTCTTTTTTATGGCAGCACTTCGGTGCCTCTAGCATGTCAAAAACAAGAGGTGAAAAATGGATCGAAAAAATTTCCTTTTTGCGCATCGTGTAGACTCTGATACCAAAAGGTTGGAAATACTTTTTGTGAGTTTTTAAAAATTGTTCTTCTGTTGAAATGCGAATGTGCGCTGACAAGGTGTACCATGTAGCTCACGTGAACGTGTGCGATCATGATTGTGCCATCCCCGTATATTTATTAGAAACTACGGTCCTTTCCCTGCCCGACTACCTCATCGCCCGGTCTGTACCTGATCATTTGAAAGAATGCTAGCCCGTTGACAAAAATGTCCATAATATGGACTGCCACCAACAAAGTGGGTGTTTTGCACATGGACCACGGGTCTAACACTACTGATGGATAGACCTTTGCACCTCGTCAACACTCCTTGCACATAAGAATTTTTGAAAATTTCTTAGAATTTCAAGAAATGAAAATAAAAGTGTGACGTTCAACTTCGTGGCTCCAAAACTCAAGTTTTCGAATTCCATTTGTTTTTTACCGAACTACATAAGGCAACCCCTATCAACAGCTTATGCACACTTTCAAACCGTTGTGCGTACTCTATTTTTCGCAAACAGCTTCATTTTTACTTATAATCCTATGAACCTATGACTACCGATCTTAATTACGCCCTTGAAGAAGTTACGTTCTTCTAGACGTTGCTACCAGTACTTTGTTACCACATTATGTATGATGCAAAATGCGACGCAAATTTGCTCTAGCAGTCCAGAAATTCCCTACCAATTATAGCGCTAGTTTCCAGAATCTCTAACTCTTAGTATCAACGGTAACCTTTTCTCACACTGTAGCAAAGCAAATATCTAAGTGCATTACCTTTCTCTTATAGTCATATTCCATAGGAGGGTTGCTTTGGTCACTTATTTGTGAAATGGGAATTTGTTTGGAGATATCACAAGTATTTGATCTAGAGGCCATTATCAGAGACTGAATTGTTCTATCCTACATTGCAGGGCCTATTGAATATGCTAGCCTTCTGGACTCACTATCAAGCCAATTGTAAATAGTGATAAAAAGTAGGGTCAAGAGTTGATAGAGAGGCCCATGTGAAGATGCCTATACTAATTTTTTGCACACTTCCTTATTTGCTAGTGGAAGGCGAAAATGAAAATGCTCAAGCTATTCATTATTTCATGTAAAACGGTAAGAGGGCAATGTACAATAAGGAACACTGAAGTGTCGCCGATAAGAGTTTTTAGTAAGTAAGCGTATCACTCTCTGAAAAACCTTTCATATTGACAGCTGCATTTTTCTACGATAAGATTACAAAGCATTCACGGGCAAAAGCATTACCGCTTCATGTTACGGCTGAATCGCTGAAGTAATGGATGTCGATGTACCGCCTAGAGTCAGCTTGAACAACCAAAAAAGTATTGCGATTCTTGGACAAAAAGAAGATGAAAGGAAAAGTCAATAAAGTTCTATAGCATTCAACCTACACAAGATGTAAAATGTGCGTCAATTCCTCCAATGAAATTACGACAGTACTGAAATGTCTTTTTCTTTGCTTTAATGGCTTATAACTCCGTATACCATTGTAAAACGTATTGACAAGTTACTGCACCTTACACGTAACAAGCTTGGAATTTATTTCAATCAGAGCAGCGCCCACCAAATTTATATTGGCTTTCCCAGTGATGCTCGCTTTTGAAAAATAGAATGTACAACTTGATGTCAAGAGTCTAGCTTCTGATAAGGGGGCGGAGGGGAGGGGGGCGATGTTGGATTGTAGAATTTTTGACGATTACTTACATGAGTAATAAAAATGTGCAAGTGACTTGTTACTTGTAAATAATAAAACTGATTTATTGGAAATTCAATTAGCCCTGTAAAAAAATTCCAAAGGCGTGACTGCCGTTGACCTCCTTTTTGTAGAATTCCACAGGCCTACAAAAATGTTAAAAAACATCCCACAAAATTTGCGCGAACGCGGCTTTTAGTCGCAGAGCGCGTAAGGCGCAGGATTTACAACGGTACGGATACGCGCGTGCCGAGTTCGCGCCCGCTCAACTAATACTGCTATTGCGCCTTCGTCATGCAGCAGCCTTTATTTATTTATTTGTTTTTTCACATATGTCTTTAGACCTGTGCAGATGACCTGTACAGTGCATTTTACTAATACTACTATCATTATTGTAAACAGGGGTGTGTATACTAGGTTGAGTCAGGGTTATGGCAATAGAATGTGGTCCTGTCCTCAGATCAGGCAGGATAACATTAAATGTTCAGCGGTTCCGTAGCTTATTTATCTTATATATAAAGCTGAATGTCTGTTTGTATGTCTGTCTGTATGTCTGTATGTATGTACGTATGTTCCGAATAGAAAATTCCATTTCTGAACCGATCGGGACCAAACTTGGCACACATACACTTCGGGCCCCGGCGGGTGTCATAGGCTACTTTTCGTATCGATCGATATCGATTTTATCGATTTTTTGCAAAATTTGAGCTACGGGGCTGGGAGTTGGCACAGGGGGTAAGTGAGCATGGGGATTCCGAATACAATATTAGTTTTTGAAATCGTGCATTACTTTTACGATTTCATCGATTTTTTTGCAAAGTTTGAGCTACGGGGCTGGGGTTTGGCACAGGGGGGTAATCGAGCATGCTGATCACCCCCGTGGGGGTGATCAGCATGCTCGATTACACCCCCTGCCAAATTCCAGCCCCCTAGCTCAAATTTTGCAAAAAATCGATAAAATCGACATCAATCGATAATGAAAAGTAGACTGTGACACCCGCCGGGGCCCGAAGTGTATGTGTGCCAAGTTTGGTCCGGATCGGTTAAGAAATGGAATTTTCTATTCGGAATATACGGCGGAGCCGGGTATGCCAGCTAGTTTTATTTTATTCTTACATCGTACTTTCGCAATAAAGTACATCATGTGATTGAGAAGTCATGTACTGAATTTGCAAACGAGTATGACAAAAAAATAGAGGAGTAATCTCAATAAGGAGAAAAACTCACTTAGTGAAATTCTAAGAATACGCTTCGCAGCAGTTAGTGAAGAAATTTGCGCATAATATGATAATGTAATGTTATGTAATTTGCATGATGTGCATTGATTTTGTCACAAAAAATCAAAGCCCAAGGTTTTGAAAACACACCACCGAATTAGACAAATTCGTAACTTTCTGATTAATATGCGCTTTGCAATCCTTGCTTGAAGTCCGAAAGTTCTTCAGGTAAAACGTCACGCTTATTTCGACTTTATATTAACAGCCTTCCAGCCATGATTGTATTGGGGTGAACGGAAATAATGGGACACTTGTAGAATAAATGCAGATTTCTTAGGAAAAGAAACTATCAGATGCTCTAATTTTGATAAATGTTAAAACATATCATTCTCGCACAAAAGATATCTATACAAGGTCATTCACATGTTTGATTACTTTCATAATTGCTGAGATACGAAATCAATCACTTCGTCAAATTATGAACTTTAAGCGCTATCTAAGCAGTAAAAGACATGAGAATACTCAAAATATCGCTGCAATGGATAAGGGAACACCATTCCAACCTATAACAACTCGTAGGTGTCGAGCTTTAAGTCAAGACATGATCATCAGCCTCGCTGAGACCGGAAATACTTGTTATTTACTTCTTTGCAAAAGAAACGCGCAATTTCGGCCACATTTTGCTAGAGCTTTTACTCTTTCCATCCACACGCAGTTAAACAAAGCTTGCAAGGAATATAGTCTGGAACATGATTTTCTTTTTATTACAAAATCGCTATAGTACAACTTTTTGCCTTTTCACCTGAAAACAAAGAGTAGTTACACATGCGATATACCACTTGAAATAGCTTAAAGAATGTTTCAAATGGTATGTCATTGGCGTCATGACTTCATGGCATAGCACCGCAAAACCGAGAGATGTTTAGAACAATACCTTGTCCGAGCTCTTTTATAATCTTTTAAGCTCAGGTTTTATAAATAATCGGTCGCACTGCGATCTTTAAAAGGAACGTTTCCCCTCGCGTTTAGAGTCACCTTGTTGCTTTCGCAACTCACCTCACGCACATAATTGATATAGATACGCATTCTCCGTGATAACTCCCGTTGCTGCCCAGACTGTTCAGAAACCGATAAAATCGACAAAAATGAAAGGTTTTAAGATTGGTATTTTAATGGTGGTCAGCATATTTACTTCCACTCTGTACCAACTCCCAGCCTGTAGATCAATTGCTTGTTGCAAAATTAATATGTCAATATCGATCGATACCGAAAATATCCTATGACATCTGCACGGCCCATATATTAGGTCGTTCCGAAAGTAATGTCGCTTTTTTCAAATGAACGCCACATTTCATGGAATCAAGATTTTCAAGAGATCTTAGGAGCATTCGATGCAGCATTTAATCCTCTTTCTAAAGTTTGTAATTTCATTGCATATTTTTCATTAAGCTTTCGAAAAATTAACAAAATCTGCAACTCATGCTTTTTGCCATGGTCAAGTTCGGCAATTTTTTAAAATTTTTGTACCTATTCTCCGAAGAAGTACAAGTGGCAGGTAGATAGAGCAAACCCTATAGGACACAGAGTAATTTTTTCTTTTCCTTAGCTTGCTTCTTAGAGTTTCTGGAATCAGTTTTAAAATGCCATCAAATTCCATATTTGATCAACT